TATTATTTTTACTTTATTTTCAAGATACCTCAGATAACTTGTAAAAAATTTAAAATTGCTTTTTGTCAACAGATTTTGCTCGAAAACATAAAATTGAAGATATTTTCAAATTCGAATTTAGAGTATGTATAATCTGAAAATTTTGATTAATATAAGGCTGAATTTTTTCGATCTTACAATCAATGAGTCTTTTTATTGGGATCATTTTGTACGTTGAATGACACAAATTATTTTGCGCAAAACAGTCTTTACCTTCGTCTTTATTTTGCTCATTACCTCTTTACTCTATTCCCCCCCCCCTCTCTCTCTCCCCCTCTATCCGTCTCCCTCTCATTTGGTACCATGCATTTCTCTTCCCGATCTCCCTTTCTCTCTTTCCATTTGCGCTTAACGTACAAAAGCGTCTTTGGCGACCGTCGACGCGGTCGATACTCACGGCGTATCGCCCCCGAGGCTGACCGAGCTTCACCCTTACCCTTACCTTACCGAACCTTTAGACAAATCCACCACCTTATTCCTCGCATTTCGCCGTAACGCTCTTCCGCCTGCACGCGAAGCAACGATATATATAGTGACGTAGCCAGCTGGTATCTCTCGATAGTTATTATTTTTCTAGAAAGAAATCCGAAACACTTGAAGAATTTCTTCCCCCCCCCCCAAAAAAAAATACAAGAAACTAGCAATAAGTGAAATTTTGTAAATTACGGAGGGAGACTCGATTATTTTCTCTAATTTTCGAATTAATTCTTTATGTAAGTAATATTGAGAATTACTTATATATTTATAATGATAACTTGTTCTCTTTTCTTTCTTTACAGGAGAAACGTTGATTTCTCTAAGATTCAAATTTCTCTAAGAATCCATAGAAAACCAATATCTTGCTAAATCTGAGGCAATTATCTTTATCAAATGTTAAAATATTAAATATTATTCAAAAATGAAATAATCTGCGGCCTTAATGAGCGGTCTAAAAATGTTATTATCATTTTGGTTAAATAAAAGGTAAAAGCGCTAAGAATCAAGCACGGAAATTATCGCATAAAAATCTTTTAAAAAACTAATGTAATATAACAAAAAAAAGAAGGATAATTCACATTTCGACGATTAAATATTCAGCTCACGTTTTAAGCCTTCCTCGCAAAATACATATTCCTGAAGTAAGTCCATTAATGGGTTGTGACGAATCATTTCCAATGTTGGTCAAAGTATTGCTCACATGTCGTTGACCGACTGCGTGTGGGAAGGACTTCAGGATATGCTGCAGATTATATAATTAAATGACGCATGTGAAAATTGACAAATTAAATAAAATTAAAAATAACTCCATCAAAAAAAATTAATCGGTACAGTTACATTTATTTTTATTCTTCCTATCATTTTTACTGGTTAATCTATATTTCCTTTAAAAAATTTAATGGATTTCGGGTAAAACAGATCTCTCGTAATGCGTATTTGAAATAATAGTTAAAGATTAAATGCTACAGGTAAACAAAAAGATAATTTTATCAAAAAACAAACAGATGATTCACCATAGAATCTCACGAATATAATCGTCATTTTCGAAAAAATATCAAAATTACAATCTGTATAGTCAATGTTTAAAATGAATAGAATTAAAAAATAATTGAAACGGAAAAAGAGAATTTTACCAATATACAAGATAAAAATTAAATAATTCGCATTTACAGGATTTAAGCAGGACGAACAAATAAGGATGCATGACAAATACTGATTGAATGAAGTGAATTGATATAGGGAAGCTATAGATTGTTGATAATCGATAAATGAACCTTTATTATGGAGACCTTCGATGTCTATAAATTCAAATTGTTCGTTTTTTGATAAAGTTATCTTTTTATTTACCTGTAGCATTTAATTTTTTAACTATTATTTCAAATACGCGTTATGAAAGATCTTTTTTATCCTAAATCCATTAAATTTTTTAAAGGAAATATAGAATAACTAGTAAAAATGATAGAAGAAATAAAAATAAATGTAACTGTGACTGTAATGATTAATTTTTTTCTTGCATATCTATTTTTATATAAAGTTTGCAGAAAAATATATGGACTTTTAAAACGATTTGATATTTGTATACTTTCAATAAAGGGATTAATATTTTGAAAGAATTTATTAATCTGGTCTTAAGCGAGACCAGATTATTTTACTTAAATCAGTGAATCTGCCGCTAATAGCATTGCTCAATGACAAGGCTAAAAAGGAGATTTGCTTTCGAACTCGTTGGCACCCCAGTCGCTATCGCTCTTTTTAGACAGTTCTTTTCTCTCATGGGACGTTCGACCGGTTTCCAGACCCGCAATAACACGTTCGAGTTCACTATATTCGCATATTGCCATTGATTCTTCTTTAATTTAATTGAAATAATCGATTATCGTGGAACTAATTTAGCATTACTATTAAAAAGTTACAGAAATAGAAACGTCGGAATATTTTTTTTTATATTAATAATAATTTTTTCGGACAGCTTGTCATTTACATCTCTGACAATGATAAAGTTATTTGTTACATGAGAAGAATTAATTTGGAATTTGATAGTATGTGAAATCTAATTTATTGCAAATAGTTGCAAATTAACTGTATTCTATAGTGATGATATAGACATGAATTTTATGTATGGTTTTTAATTTAATTTTTTTTTCAAGAGATGTAAAACTTGAATTAAAAAATTTGAAGATTTTTAAAAATTCTATTTATAGTTTAATTGTTTAATTTACATTTAATTAGCTTTATTTTAGATTGTATTGCTATTATATCATTATAAATGTTGTTTTTAATATAATTGTCAAATAAATATGTATATGTGATTAATAATAAAAATATAGGCCCTTTTAATCTCTGCATTACTTAAGTACATTTAAGACTTTTATACTAAATATAATTCCACCTCTCTAGTTAATATTAGATTAGTTTAGAGAGTTAATTACTTCTCTGTATTTTCATAGATTGTAATAATGGCTATAAAAAAAGTATGCAAAACGTATCCGCGTGCAGTTTTACTACATTTATTATTATAATTTTACAATTAAAATATTATACGTATAAAAATGTATGTATTTTGTAACTCCAGAAGATTTTTTTATGTGAATGGCAGTTATTATTGCTCCAATTTTTCAGTTTTATTTGAGTGTCAAATTTCTCAAATTCCGTTAAATAGTAAAATCTGAATTTTTTATCATGCCTGTGAATTTTATTCTATCATTTACATATTTTCCATTGTAGCGTAATTAAATAAATTTTACAAAGCATGTGTGTTGAAACGAATAAATAAATACACATATATATCATTTTAATTTATAGAATTTTAATTTATAATAAAACAAATATAACGATAAATTTATGGATTTCACGTTTTTCCACGCGTCTCTAGATTCCAAAATCGTTGAAATATTTATCTAGGAAAAAGAGAAAAAGGCGATGCTCTGAATTCATTTGTGAAGAAATTCATTCTTCACAATATTTTTTCCGAATCGAGTTTCTGTTATTTCTGTTTTATAGGTTTCAGTCGTTTGCGAGAAACGGAATTGCTCTGTAAATTGCAAAAAGTAAAATCGGTACAGTTTCTTCGATTGTAAGTGGAGGAATGATGTATCGTGACTTTGAACTCGCTGTCGCATCATGCGTTCGGTGCACTCGTGTCCTGCGATCCGCGAGCGCTAGCCCCCCTGTCCTCACCTCTCCGCGGAGGTTACGTCACTAGCATTCAGTTATATAGGCGAGGTCGGGATCAGCGCAGCGCGCGGGCTTCAGGTCACGATTCACCTTTATCCACTTTAGAGTGGAACACTCACAGTTAAGTTGATATATCTTGGAAACCGAACCTATAATTTGAACGTCAGGTTTTGGAGAGTTCAAGACATTTCAGATAGAATATCTTATCTATTGTATATTGAACAAAATATTAGATATATGGATGTATCTCACACGAAAGTTTTTCTTTATCTTAGAGAAATTTTTTAATAATATGTATATGTATACTGGAAAAAAAAGAGTCTGGTAAACAACTACCAGATGTTAAGTGAAATAATTCCAATCAAATGTCCGATTAATATAACAAAAAATTATTTATTTTTCGAAATAAGTATTTAGTAAGTATTACAAAACATAATAATATTACCAATTGTTTGATAATACTAATTATTTGAAAAAGTGAAATTATATTTGATTATTTAACTGAACGTTTGATTAGAATTATTTTACTCAACGTTTGATAGCTATTATAAGGAATAGGCGAGTATAGATTAGATTTGAAATAAATTCTTGATAAATGATTTTGAAGATGATGAAAATATTTGTTTTAAAGCATGACGCGCAGAGGAAAGCGTTTATTTATAATTTATTATTTCTAATTTATTATAATTCAATATAAGAAGGATTAATATGATAAATTAAAAATCCATGGAATTAATTTTTCTTTGATAGTATAAAGAGCTATTAGCAAAATTAAATGAAAGTCTAATACACATAATGGTGATGTGTATTGAAATTATTCTCTTACAAATCTATTAGTTTTCACGAATTTTATTCTTGTAGAAACGTATGGACTTATCATTCGTAAATGATACCTTGACAACTGCGTCAACAGGAGATATTGATTTGGAGCGGCATCTGTCCCTGAAACATTATCCCCGTTCCGAAATATACAGCGTAAATATATATTTTCAACAGAGCTATATGAACGTGTGTGCACGTGCACGATGGGTCAGTGGGACGCGATGTTAATTACATCGCACTTATTACGGAAGCAGAATTTCGCTGATGCGTTAATAGACTGAGTACTGCATTACGAAATCGTTAATCTTGTTGGGAACTTTTAATTTTCTAATGTTAGTGGTGCGCTTCCTCGTATCCCTTTATGCAGCAGAGGGAGGAAGATGAGAGATAGATAGAGAACTCTTGGGAGTTTCGTGTCAACACACACGTTTCAGCGTGTTCACTGACCTCCAGAGGCTCACGACCTGTTCTGTTTTTTCATGTTTCAGATCGCTCCCTCGACAAAAAAGCTCTGGGGCGTGGACGAGGGTGGCTCCAAGGACGAAGGGGGTGTAAAAGGCGGTGGGACCCTGCTTCACCTGGGCGACCACCCGACTACTATGTGGCGGGATTCCACCTGGAGTACGACGTCAGGTACGATTTGCGCGCAATCACATTGCCCATGCATCGTCCGTTAGTGGGATTTCGATCGACACAGACGACGGAAGTGCTTACGAAGCTCGAGCATGGTCGAGTAGAGTAATCGAAACCGTTTGGTTAAGCACAAGGGTCGCGAACAGCCGACGCAGACCGCCTACGCTGGTTAAATCCGAGTACACAGCACCATTGATGCAATAGCGCTCTATTAAATTGTTATAGTAATAACGATGATAATTTCGAATAATTTCCATGCTGTTCTACAGCACATGCATATTCCTACAGCATGATTTCTATTTTATGCGTTACTTGCTCCAAGTAGCATTAATGAAAAATCAATCGGAGAATTCAAATCTCAGCTGAGGTAATATTTTTCGCAATAAATTATTCACGGTTTTTCAGATTCTTATTAGCATCAAATTAATATTCTTATGAGATATTTATTAGCATCAATATTAAATCAATATTAAATTGCTTGGCAAGTTAATTATTGATACTAATAAATTATATAATATTTCTAATCTAATTCTGTTCATCATTGCGTTAAAAAAAAATAGCTATTTCAACGTGCGGTTTGCAGAATTGTATATAAATTCACTTCAAAAAATTTAAGCGCTACATTGAGAGAAAAGGATAGTTTTGGTATTTGTGACTATAATTGCATAAAATAATTATGGTTAGCAGCTGATTTTTATTGTTATAATTTTAGTAATAATAATTATGTATAATATTCTTTCAAATATGAAAAAATGATTCTATAAATTATGATAATTTTAAATGTTAATATAATAAAATGTAAGTAGTAAATAAAAATAAACATTTTTATTCAGTAAATGCAGTCGCAATTATAGTGAATATAATAATGTTTTTCTTAAATTCATTTCTATTTATGTAGTAGTAATCATTAAAAAAATATATTAAGACAAAACTAAAGATGTGTAAACAGTATGTGTGACTATTATTAATAGTATTATACAATTGACTATATTTGCAATTGTTAAAATAATTAAAAATATATAGTTGTTAAAAAAGTAACTATAGAGTATAGTTAAATTATAATAATTACGATCATTTTTTTTTCTCTCAGTGTAAGAAACGCTTTGAATATAAGATTTTTTAATTTAATTTACAAAAATTATTGTGCTAATTGAATCATATCTTTTAATGGCGCGAATCGTTGGCGAAGCTTGGCTGTTAGTTTGACAGTTTTTAACAAAGGAAAGTTGTCAAACTGGACCAGAAAAATCGCTTTCGGTGTTAGACGTATGTATCGATCAATCATAGACCGATGTCTCTGTTTGCAAAAGGTGATGTATCCGGGTAAGAAACATGAGATATGAAGCGATGCCGCGTATTTTACGTCGTACAAGCTTATTGATTGATACAGCAGTAAAAGAACAACATGTATACATATACGCAGCTCGCTCGCCGTCGCCATCGCCTTCCGTTGAGGGGTGGGTTAGAAGGGAGTGAAGGGGGTAGAACCAAGCTTTTTCACAGCGCACTCGATCGATTAAATGACAACACCGACTAAAATTGAAAATAATTTTGAAAGCTCTTCCTATATCAGTTTTACTTTAATTCTTTTGAAATAGGATTATTTTATTATTTTATGTTTTTATCTTTTGATGTATTTTTAAAAATATGTTATAACTTTAACAAGTTTGCCACTTAAAAGGCAGAAATATTGGAGAAAATTTGGTGTCTTATTTGAATATGAAAAAAATATCTTACGGAGATTTTTACGAAATCTTAATATATTTAGATGCTCGTCATTTCCAAAGATAATTATTATTATCTCTAATATTTAATCATAATTATACTTGATAGCTTGGTACTATCGTTTCGTGCTATTGTAATTGGTTTAGCTACCACATAATTCGTTTGATCGATTAAACACGTGATACGTTAATAAATGGAAGTATACTCATATACGTACATGTACTAACACATAAACTTCTTGATTTGCTTATAAAATGTACAGGAAAGTTTTTTGCAGGAAATTCTTTTTTATTGATATCTTAATAATTCTAATATTTATCAGATTGCTTGTAATGATCAATGTGTAAATTGCTTGCATATGTTACACGTTAAATGTTACCAGATGCTAATGATACATAATGAACGTTTATTGTGTGAATTGAAATTTGGTTTTTCAAATTGCAAATTCTCTTACAAGTAGAGTACAAAACATTGAAAATCTGATTGTTGAAAAAAAGAGGAGGGAGATTGATTGCTCAATATAAAGTTTCTGTAAAAGTTGAAAAAATTAAAATATTTGAAAATATTTATATATAATTCGTGTATTTGTGTGTGTGTATATATATATGTACGTATGTAATTCTATATTCAAATTTTATTATTTAATTACTATGTATTTCTAAATTTTTTAAAAGTTTATAAAATATAAAAAAGCTTGAAGTATTCAATGAATCTTTCGATTTTAATGAATTAAGTTTGAATGAACGAACTTTAAAGTTACGAAATATGGAAAAGATATAAATATTTAGATTTTATGCATATTTAAAAAATTCTTTCAGAAAAAAAAACACGTCGAACGAATGTATTATTATATTTATGCATACATACATTTTGACATTTTAACATACTTGTTACATTTACAATTAGTAGACATTTTTTAATTGAATAGATTAATCTAGATACATTTATCGATTTAACATTGCGCAATTACTTTTTTTATTTTTTTATTGCCACAAATACAAATGTCTCTGAATTCTGAATACACAAGTATCACATGTCTGTTAGATCTAATAAATTTGTCTGATCTAATAAATATTAAATTAATACGTATTTAATGATATTAAGACTTACGCGATGTATACACCGGGTGTGCGCGAAACATCTGATTTTTTACAAGTGCTAGGTATACATATGGTGGCAGCGATGACTGGCTGTGGCTGCGGCTATGGTTGCAACTATAACTGTGGCTGTGTCTGTAGTGATGAATACGGATTAGGATGCTAATGTGAATATGGATGTCGTAAATATAGCTGTGAACATGTATGTATACTCATATCGACGTGTATACAACAGTTGATGTGGATACGGATATACGGATGTGGATGCGGATATGGATGTGTGGATGTGGTGGCGACGGTGATGGTGGCCGTCGTGTGTGCGTCACACCGCGATGGGTGCAACGCGGCTGTTGCCATGGCGACAGACGCCCGGCATCAGAGGCGGCAGTAGGGGCAACGTCCCAACGTCAGGATCGTACCTACTGATCCACCCCGTTAGCGAGCACCTCGACCGACCACCAACCCTCTCAACCGATCGTCCACCTGGGCTGCCGCACTGTTGTATTGGCGTCATATGGGGCCGCGCGCGTGAAAGGGCGGAAAAAACTTTTCTATCTATACGGGAGCCCTCAACGGAATCTCGTTCGATAATGCTCATGGTCGCAGCTGCTTCTCAGCGGTAGCAAAATTGCTGTTTGAATAAATTCCGTCTGTTGTTCTCTCTGTTTTTTTTTTGTCTTTTCATATCGATAGAGTTCCCTCGCTGGAGAGACTCGTCGTCAGAGTTGAAATAGATCTTATCTATACACATGAGTGTGAACGATTTAGATTTGCCAACGATTTAGATTTATCAAAATATCTTTCGAAATCTAGGCTACATTTGGTTTGAACGCTTTTAGCGTTTTTTTAACACTTCCATCCCTGTTTTACGTCTAATAAACGATGATTATAAGTTGAAAGAACATTGAGCATTCAAATCATACACAGTCCTAGAATCGTAATCGAGTCATCGAGGGGCTTATTTTTCCAAAGTGTCTTAAGACTCTTTGAATTTCTTACTCTGCGCCGCTTTATTGAAGAATACAACGAAAAAAAATTTGTGACTTTATAATCCAATATACAACCGCAAAGAACGATTTTCTGAATTTATGGAAAATGAAGATTACTTCTGTTCTAAATAAATTGCGGAAAATTTCGTGACGTGTGATCTTCTTTGTCTGAAAAGACGAATCTTTTTATTCACGTTTTTCTTGACGTCTGTTTTTATAAAACACAGAAATATAATGACGCATGGTAAAAGCGCGTGGAAATATAAAATTCAAATAAAAATTGTTGCGAAATCGTATATAAATTTTATGACGAGACCATTTCTCGGCAGAAATATATATTCCGTGTGTACGTTGGAGGGAGAACTTTGTTATATGTATATATTTGTATCTATTGATCCTCCTTTGTATTGACTCGCAGCTGTGTCGGAAGCATCATACACTCGGATTTTTTGTACATTGAACACTATTATTCATCATCATTTATACATTTTATATTTAATTTGATTAATCGTTAAAATTGGATAGAGATTTTTCGATGATTTTCAAGTTCGATTAAGAGCTTTAAATATATGCCAAGGTATCTTACGAAAAAACTCATCTAAGGACCAAAAATTGGTTTCTCGCTTTCTACACAAAATCGATCGAAGAAAAGTGGTTCGCCATTGTTAGGACTCTAACTTGAATCGTGCCAACTCTTCTTTTTTGAAGAGAGATGGCTCTGAATTACACAAGTAATCTACATAAATATTGTCCTTCACAGATCATGCGGTGTCACAACCAATTTCAATGGGTACGGGCAGACGTGTGGGAGTTGGAACGGGATATCACCATCAAGCATCAGAAGTCGGAACAGTGCTTAGTCCTAGGAGCAGGTTCGTGTGTTTTTATATGTTGTTCCCACGTCTTTGTCGATAGATTTTGAAGGCCAGATTAAACATGCGACATTTGCCCCGATGCCGAGGCATTGATAATTTCAACTTGTAAGAACGCAAAAAAATTTGTACGAAATTAAACTTTAAAGATAACATATCTACATATAGACAATACAAATAAGTTTTATACCTTGTTTAAACCAGTTGATTTTATTCTAATACAATTTTAATAAAGAAATGTTAAATTACGAATTATTATAATTATACAAAAATGATAAAAAAAATATTAATGAAACTTTTATTAAAAACTAATCGCTTATAGATTTGATAAAAAAAAGTTTGTAACCGAGAGAAAGATTTGAAGTTCGTGTAATATTTTTAGCAGTTTATATTTACTTGTAAATATTATTCTGATAACGATATCATTAACAATGTATTCTTTTTCTTGCAGCGAAACAGGTGGTTTGGGAGTTAAAATGGTTGAATATGTTCTTGGATCGAGTCCCACTACACCAAAAGATTTAGAACCACGAATGGTTTCTCTAAGATTGGTGAGTATTATATAATAGCATAGAGTTATTGTTATCAGTTTATGTTTATATGTACATCGATATAGTTCATTTATCGTTTTGATTTTTTTTATACACAGAATACTGATGCAGACAAGAAAGAAAAAGAAAAAGGTTCAGCAAGTCCTTTTGATAGCACAAAGGACGATGCTGGACCACAGGGTAATGGATTAGCGTCTCAAAATGGTTTAGACGACGACAAAGGGTTTAAGTAAGTTCTATTTTACAGATCGAACTACTTAATATTAAATTTAATATTATGATATGCCTAATCAATTGTTTAATTTATTTTCAAACAAACTAATATTCAAGTTTTAATTTTTTTTTTCAATATTTTAAAAACTTATAATTATCTTCATCTTAAAATGGAAATTTTAATGAAGTGGTTAAATGAAGATTAATCTTTGACATCTATTTTTATCTTTCTACTAATTTTTTTAATGGTTTACTTTAACTTTTCTAGGAAAAATTGTATGTAATCTAGAAAGAGGATTAACAAATTATAACAGAAAATATAGGAATTTATAATAATTTATAATAGCACTAGATATAAGCAGTTGAATAATTTACAAGTATATAGAGCGCAGCAAGAACATGATTTCTTATCATATTTTTTATTATATCCTATTGTAGAGATATATAACTTTTTAATGTATTACATCTACTATAATTATCATGGTGAAATAGCGTAATAGTGAAATAATGATAGCTGTCAAGGGTATACTCTACACGCGGCTGATGATATCGTATATTCTCGTTTCCTTTCGCGATAGCTTCTCACTCGAGTCTCAGTAATGTTGCGCCATCAGTAGCATACAACAGAAAGCACATTCGACAACGATGTTACCGACATTGTTTATCTATTTTGTTGTGTCTATCCGCTATTTGCTTGCGTTTCATATATAGTACTTCTATTTTTATTAAATTCTCAGTAATTTAGGGTCTTTACAAAACATTTAAGAGTTTTAAAGCAGTTCTAAATTTTACTTCTATATCATAATAATAAAAAGGAGAAAAACATTATATGTAGTTTCTGATGATGATTTTTTAACTTTTCTCGTAAAGATTTCAGATTTAAATAAAAAAAAAACTTACGTGTGTTTTATTTGGATTTTCTCGATATATTCGAAAGGAAAATGATACGAGCAAAAGGGGAATGGCTATTAATTTCTGTATTATTATAATAATGACATTTAACATCATCCGTTGACGGACACTGTTGATGTTCAAGTATTATACTTTCTTTTCTCACGAGATCAGTAACACGAGTCGTCTAACCTGCGGACTGCTTCCTGTTACGTGCGTCTCATTATGCAAAATACACCGTTACACGACATGTAATCGATTGCGTATACGCGGAATCTTGGATTAGCGTTTTTTTGTGAAATTATTTAGCGAATTATTTTTAATTAGAAAATGATTCTTTTAAATAGATTAACAAAATTAAATATTTATAAAAGAACTAGTAAATTTTAGTCTAGGTCCAAAATTTAAGGTAGAATCTGAAAAAAGCATATTTTTAAAAAATATATAAAAAACCAAGAGTTTTGAAAATAAATTTTATGCTCGCTGAGCATATCGTGCACATTTGTTATTTACAATGAGGTTCTTGACATTTACGATTGCTATTTCCAATCGCTCTTAGGAACATTATGCCAATTTTTTTATATAGAAAACAAAATAAAATGTTAAAGTAAAATAGTTTTTACATTTGTTCAGGTTTTAGGTTTGTTTCTACTATTATTAAATATTCATTATCAAAGCTGGTAGAGCTATTACGTAATTATTTTTTATAAAATATATATTTTAATTTGTAAATTAGCTAGGCTACATTTCTTACTTAATCTGATTGATTCTTTCATTTATATTATAGCCGCACACCTGGAAGTCGTCAACCGTCACCGGGCGAAGAAGAGTTTCAGAAGAATGCTGGTCCCGCATTGGTGAACAATAACGTTGTTCTCTTAAAACCTGGGATTGACGTTGTCGGCAATGAGGAACATTTCATGGCATTTGCTTCAGCACCACCGCATCATCTGCAACATCATCAGGCGCCACCGACTCATCATCTACAACATCCGCATTCACATGCAGCAGCGCAACTCTTCGGGGCGCAAGCCCCGCCGCCGCCACAAGGTCCACCGCCCTCGCAACAACAGCAACAACAACAAGGTCCTCCACAGCCACAAGAAACCGCACCCTTTGATGTCGGGGTAAGTTGTCAACTTCTCGTTTTTTTAGATGCTACCAAACGGAGAGAGATTTGTGTGTCCGTCGTCACGCTAAATGTAACAAATGTTATCGATATCATTTGGAACTGCAAGGAAGTTTTGTTATAAATTTTGCAAACACAGATTTCGAATTTCTTAGTTTTGTACCAATTGTTGAACAAATTGCGAATTTTTGACGTTATTCGTATTAGAATGTTCATACACTATTTTGCTAATTAATGTTAGGAAAATTATAAAAATTCAAAATATACAAATTTTTAAGAGTACTCTCTACAATTTTTAGAGTGAATTTTATTCTTAAAGATCAAAAATTGAGTCACTTTTTTTTTTTAAGACTAATTCAATTTTCATTCTTTAGAGCGAGATTCCATTCCAGATAATTTAGAGAGTAACGTGCGATGAAGTTAATGAAAATACTTACTTAATGAAAATTTAAAGAAATCTAAATTGGAGAACACATTATATAAAAGATTTTAAGGTTTGATCAAATTATTTTAATGGAATTTTTTATCTAGTTCTATTTTAGTAAATGAAAAGTTGAATGAATGGATCAGTTGACAACATAAATTGTCATAAATAATATAATTTAGTACAAAAAGAATCGTTCAATTTATCTTCATATTTTATTTTGCAAATAAAATTTATCATGCATTAAGTTTGAAATATCACTATTGTTATGTCTGGGTGTGTAGATGAGCAACACCGAATAGCTTATATCTTTATTACTCTTTCAATACACGTGATGTCCATGACCTGTACCGCCGTTCTCTCTCTCTCTCTCTCTCTCTCTCTCTCTCTCTCTCGCTGCCGCCGTATCGTGATTCTATTTCTTTATCTTTACACAACTGTAAACGACGAAACTGTAAACTGATGATGCAATATGTTTAAATGATACGTTGCAGGTTATACCAATTGTGATTAAAATTCCCTTATATAGTTCAGATCTGTGTAACTTATATTTATTTAAGAATCAAACCTATACTTAAACTCGCGATCGTTAATGTTTCTCATTTCAACGCTCTCTTATTAGTATGAATCATACGTTGTTTATTAAAAATGGAAACTTGTAAATTTTTCTCGACTATAATATGCTTATTGGTACTCGAAAAGAGAATACAAGGTTTGCATCACTGCGCAATTACATCAATATAATTATAAGTACATATAAGATAGGATCAAAAATATCTTTCCAAGTATTTATACGACGATTAAACGAACTTTTCTGTGGACGTTAATAACATTAGTTCACAAAGAATTCTTGTCAGACTTCTTATAAAACCGTTACGATGCCGCGTTGCAGTTCCGTAATGCGGTTATTACGGAAAGATTAATCTCGATTATGTAGTAAATGTTCCCCCACTCTTGAGAAGCATACTCCCGATTTGTACCGCTTAGCTTTGTCGTCGCACTTTTTCCGCAAGATTTTTCTTCTAAGAAAATTTTCCTAGTTTTGCACGATTCTTCTCGAAGTTACTGAAGATTTCAAATGTAATCATGCAAAAGACATTGCGGAACTTCCTATAAAGCATCTAGCTTTTATGTCAGGTATTTTTATCAACTTTTTTTCATTTCTCAGAATGAAAAAATGATTTGCAACCAAAGTGATCTTGTTGCAGTTTGAATTAGTATTTTTTTTCTTTTTTACAGAAAACTAAATTTTGCCATGAACGTTTATCACGAATATTACATACTTATAAAATTAGGAAAATTTATTCTAGAAACGGCAGCAAATCTTGATAAGAATCTTCTTGATAAGAAAAAATTTTTTAGTTTTTTTATTACGCATTTGTAAAAAAATCGCTCAATATAATTGTTATTAATCCTTAAGACCATTACTGTATTTGTATATTCAATATACAACGTATTCTAATGACATTCACTTTAACATTGTTCTTTTGTAACAAATGACTGATTCTATCAGTCATTTTATATCAGTTTGAATGCAAAATATCATAGAATTCAAATAGTGAATTACTTTGTAGTCTCTTGCCGCACTCGAATGAGACGTGATTAAAGCATTACTATTTTCGAGTATAGCCAAGCCAGAGAAAATAGCTACGTCGTTTTGCGCACGTGCATCATGTGACGTCCTGTTCATTCGTCCGTTCTCGATGACAGAACCGACTAGTTTGGCTTCGACTTGCGCGTTCTATTCGACCGTTTCCTCGTCTTTCACATGTAATCAGGCTGTATTATCAAAAGGCTATACGTCTCTCGCATTTATTCTCATTTATTTAGTTTGAAACACGCGTTTCTAAATGAAAATGCTCTATTCTATCCTGTTATCTTATTTTAGCATATGTCCTTGTTTGTGCTTTAATGACGTAAGAAACGAGATAGACTTATTATGACATTTAACTAGGGCCGCATTCGGCCACTACGCTTTTTGCCCATCTTTTCAACCGGGCGAACACAATGACATCCTTACGACCTTGATATCGTATATTCCCGAGGGCATACTTTTTCTATTCTACCTTCACAAAAGGGTACCTCGTTTCGATAATGGGTGACGATCCGCGCGGGTTTTAAAGAGAGAAACGCCGAGTGGCGGTTGTGGACGAACTTATAAATCATTGAGTGACAGCTTCTTGACGTGCCTACTTTGAGTGGCTATTCAGAAAATAGAACGGCAAGTATATATTGGTACCATCCGAGCGTGTTTCTGCATCTCGTCAAGTGCTCGTGCTCAGACATGTCACGGAGGATGTACGGATCCGCGCATTCCCTGTTGCGATATTATTATATATCGTTAATAATATTTGGATTGTTTATAAATTGCATTAAATCTCCGAGAGCGATAATCCTTTTGAAAATTGACAAAATCTTATCGGCGGCTTTTCTCTCGATAATATCCCACAAGCTCAGAGTTCCTTTTCATAAAGCATCCCAGAGACTTTCGTATTGACTGAGAATTGAAATGGTAGAATCGTCACGAATGAAGACCGAGATGGGGGAGGCAGTAGTTGTAACGCGCTTTCCCGCCTACGGAAATGATACCACCGGCGACCATTGTTCTCAGGAAAAAGCCGCGACAGCGGTTTCCGCGCGAAGAACTGGACTCGTATGTGCAACGAGCCGACTGCCTGCGATATAGTATTACCTGCATTACGTTGAGAATATTTGTTAGTTTCTCTCTCAACTATTAAGACATGTTGTACATGGAATACAATTCTTAAGGGTTTATCTTATCTGTTGATCTGACATGTACTTCCGTAATTATGTTTTGAAAATATCATCACTTAAGATACTTCGCTAAACATAGAGCAAATTGCTCGCGTTGTCGATCTTCCCGGTTTTTCTCTTTCTTCCACTCGACGTCTTACGCCTCGATGAGAACGCAAAATGCGGCGTAAAGTTGCCGGCGACCGTGAGCCGAGACTAGATGTCTGGAAAAAGATAGACGCGACACAGCACTCAGTATTAATTTTACTCGACGAGCGAGTTCTACTTCCGTGGATACACGCATTGCTTAGAGTAAGGCAGGCAAGCCCATTTTTCTAGTCAGAGACACGACGTTAAATCTTTTCAACTCAATCACCAAGAATTTTTCTAAAAAGAAAATATTGAATTTTTAACACATGTTCTACTTCAAGTCAGTTCAACAGAAAATGATATTTTATTTTCCTGTAATTAAAAAACGTTGAATTGTAATAATCATTATTTTTGGAGTAATGCAAAAGTATTTCTTTTATATATAAAAAATGAAAAAAAGAACATTCTTAAAAATGTTTTGTGAATTCTTTCTCGTGATGGTACTTAGGAGAATCGCCGTTATTAATTCGAGATATAGATGTTGAGCCCGTTACATTGAGAGAAAAGTGTTTGATATTTGTGATTACTATGATTGCATAATAAATTAATTATGATTAAGAATTCCATTTTTTTTTTGTCATTACTACTGTAACGTTAATAAAAATAATATTATTACTGTAATAGTAATTATTATTAACAATTTTATAGTCGTTTTTAGGTACAACTGTGTATATTCTTTTTGGTACACTATAAATGTAATTACTATTGTTAACGTTACAGCAATAATTATAAAAATGTAACTCTCAATTATAATGGTTTTACCATGCAATTATAGTAACAAGTTCCAAACACTTTTCTCTCAGTGTACTTATTGGAAATTGAAGATTACGAACTGGAGAATGGGAATTTAATCAATCAGAATGAGATGGACTAAAATTATTTGAATGGTCAAATACTAATCTCCAATTCGCGATCCTCGAAATCTCCAATGGACACGAGCTTAAAGAGATTTGTCCACGAGCGTTTTAATCGTCAAACCGCGTACTTCATATCTTGAATTATCTCACTCGGTAAAAGAAGGTCGACCTTCGAGCCTCCCTTCGCCGAAGCGCGCCGAGATTTTCGCGACGTGCGTCCTGTGTACGACGTACGTATAAAAATAGGATGCTCGTTCGCGCTCGTACTGGGACGAGGATTACGCCGCGCGTATACGCGCGTATATTTTGACGAGCAGCTCGAGGCCGCCGCGCGCACGCTCGTGCCTTTCTTTCTGATACCGGCGCGTACGACGTGAAGAAGAGCCACGCGTGTCGGCGCACGAAAAGTGCGTACACGCGTGAGACGGTGCTTCGCTCGCCTTCCGATCGTGTTATTACGTGAGCGCTTGTGCTCTCCGATGCATGAAGCGTTTCCCAGACCTCTTCCAGCCCCTTCTCCACCCCCGTTCCAACTCCCCCCGACCTTTCCTTCTTCTCCCTTTTCCGTCTCCACGTTGCGTTTTTCCTCTTCCTCTCTGGAAGAGAACGAGAAAGAGAGAGAAAAGAAGAGACCGTGAAGGTGTGGTGTAACGCATACACGGACAAAGTGAGAGAGAGAGAGAGAGAGAGAGAGAGAGAGAGAAGCCGGGTTGTTGACTCGCTGCCCATTCAGCATAAAGTGCAATGACTCCTCTTCCCGATGAAAATCTGTATCATCGCCCGAAGGTTACCATCTTCAGGGCACGAAATCGT